AGTTGGTGAGCCAGGGAGAGCTGAGACAGAAAACGGGAGGGCAACTCTCCACATTCCAGACCTATGACAGGGCTACCTGACACGGAGAGCCGAGTCCTATGTGAACTATTGTGCCTTATCAGGAAATCCCCCAGTACTATGTTGATACAGAGGAGCTCTAAATGATGCCTAAAAGAAGATCTCATTGTTCCCTGAAGTTCCTCTCTGTTCCGGGACCAGATAAGCAGACACAAATACTTGTAATTCTGACCAGCATAGGGGGAACACCAATGAAGAGGTGCCTGCTCAAGTGATGTTTTTTGTTTGGCACCAGTTAAAGATTTCTTGAAGTATGGATCATGCTGATATCATTTGGGGTATGAGACCTACTGCCCTTCCTGGTTAGGACAGAATACAGCTTGGTGTCACTGGGTGCTAAGGTATCCAGTCCTGTATTTTCCTCTTATTGCAATAAACAGTTTTTTATCCAACTCACTGGACTGCGACTGTGTGTTCCTCATCCGGCCCTGGGAGCACACGGGGCACAGATTTGTGCATCATCTTTGAGATACAGAAGCATTTACACATAGAATTTATTTCATCTGTTATCATTTGCCCACCAAATTGCATGCCAAAATGGATCTATAAAGTACTTATGGGTCTCTTTTGATAGTGTGTTTTTATCCTCCAATAGGGTTGCCAACTTTGGGTTGGGAAATTCCTGGAGATTTGGGGGTGGAGCCTGGGGAGAGCACAATTTGAGGACAGGAGGGACCTTATCTGGGTAGAATGCAATAGAGGCTACCCTCCAAAAGCAGCCATTTTCTCCAGGGGAACAGATTTCTGTGGTCCGGAGATCAGTTGTAATTCTGATAGATCTCCAGGCCCCACCTGGAGGTTGACAACACTATCCACCACCCTGCTATAGCATGTTTGGACAGGGTACGATAAAGTCATCATTGTCCACGATGTACACACATGTCCCAATAATTATTCAACTCCCCAAAATGTAAATCCTTGTAGCCAGTGTGAGTAGAGGCTTGGCGTTAAAAATGAGGCTTACGATTTCAGTTCACAATTCTTGAGGTTTTCCTGAATACTGACAGAGCATGAATTTATCCTGGCAGTTGCCTCCCGTACATTTTGCACACACACACACACACACACACATATACCCTGATTGGCTAGCATCAGGAAGTAGGCTTGCCAAGTCCCCCCAGGGAGGCCCGTTTCCAGCCACCGGCGGATCGGGCCCTGGGGGGAACCCCACCCCCAAAGTACGTGACGTGCACGTCACCTGGAAGTGATGTGACCACGCCGGGCATGCTGGGGGCGGGGCCATGGTCATCCGAGGGAAAACTCTATGGCTTTCCCTCGGATG